CACCCCTTGCTCCTTGTGCACCAGGGTGTCCTGGCAGTCCCCTGTTGCCTGGGATTCCTGGAGGACCATATGTGGTATCGCCTGGAACACCTTTCTGACCATCTATGCCAGGTGGACCTGGAGGGCCATTTTTACCATCAACTGTAGATCCCCTTTCACCTTCATCACCAGGATCACCAGCTTCACCTCGAAAGCCTGTTGATATGATTTTTAAATTCAAATAGGGCATAATTTAGAAGTTGGTTGTTTAGGGTTTTTTTCCCAAACTGTGGAATATTATAATGCAAATTTAACCAGAATTAAACTATCACTTTGCAAAGAAAAATAACATCATACATTAAATTCCAGGTTTCTTCTTTAGACCTAATGATACATGAAGATTGAAGGAGGTAATTATTCCTGTGGGAAGTGACAGTTGTTGTCTTTGGGGCAGCATCTATCTTGTGTACTGTCACCCTTGTCCAGTTCAATCGCTTTGCTAAAATGATACTAATTGTTCTCAGTTTTCTGAGAATATTTCCTCTCTGGACACTGAACTTTAGGTTATTGCAGCACCTTCAATGCTGGAGGAAAGAAAGGGAAACTGATAGAGATTCCTCTTCCATTAGCTTTCATTGAAATATGCTTCCTATTCTATTCTACCATGGTAGCTACTTTACCCTGCATGTATGCATTACAGCTTCACCAGCAGGCCTCCTGGATTAAGGAAAGCACAATTCACCTTCTGGCCCTGGGATTCCTGCTCCTGGCCTGCCTCGATAGCCTTTTTGTCCATCAAAGCCATTTGGTCCAGGACGACCGGGGAGTCCTTTTAAACCCTTTAGTCCTGGAAACAGGAAGAAAATACATAAGAAACTGACAGAGCTCTATAATGTGTGATCTAAGGAAACAGTATTGCACCTTTATCCCATGCAAATTCACGTACTTTGAAGACAAGCAGATTTCATCTGCTCCTAACATTCTGGGCAAGAGCAACCCTCCAATTCAAAACCAAAGGCACGGTTGCTGTTTTTCTAAATGAACTTGTCCCCTAATCCATAAACAGCAGACTGCAAATCACCAGAGTAAATTAGAAAAAAAAATTTCCTACAACATTTTAATGTTACAGGACATCAACAATATTAACCTAGTAAATGACAGATGTCAACTCAAATTTGTTTATTCTCCTGTGCTATATGCTGCTTCTGGAATGGTGCAGATGAGCTCAGTGCGCTAATCCCTGTTCTTTCATGTCTGTATAAATTTTAGCTACCACCCACAATAATGATGTCAGGGAGCTGTGTAATACCATATTAAGCAGCTTGAAAGATCCAGTATCTCCATTTGTTCTGATTAGGATTTTCTGGGATATTTCAAATGTTTTGGAGGTGATCACAAGCAACATTTTGCCAGTTCCTGGACAAGTTCTTTGAATTTAAATTAAGTTGGACAAGTTGAAGTAATGGTAAGTATTCAGATTTTAGGGCTCAATTGCAACTTATCATGAGCAATATAGTTTTAGAAATTACAGACTTGCAGCATATCTTTGCCTTACACACCTTTTTTCCCCCAGTATCCAGATGTACATATTCTAAGCCTTATCTGACTCCAGCCATCTGCGTATGTTACAGACTCTCTCATGCATTTTAATTGAGGCAGGACAGAGTTTCAAGCTACCTTCATTTAGTCATTTCTATGGAGGCAGCCTGCACACCTTTTGATCATGCAAACTGCAGCTGTCTGGCCCTTGATTCTATTAGATGAGTATATTCCTGTGTATTTGCAGTCTTACATTTTGAGACATGTATCTGTTGAAAAAAATACAATAGTGTATCTTTTTAGGATAGCTACTTTTTTTAATTAGCAACTTGAAACTCCATTTCAATTAAACCCCAAAATTCTCCTATCTGTAAACATACCTGGAACACCTTTAAAACCTGGGGGACCTGGATTTCCAGGGTATGGTAATGTAATGCAGACAGTCTCACCTGAAGCAAGAGGGAGAAAGAACATGGCCTATTTGATTTTAAAATAAATGGGAGTCTGAACATTTACTGTAATATTTCTGCGGAACTAACCAACTAGATGTGCAAAGGTAAAGAGAAGGACTGTTTATGAACATTGTTATTTCCATATTACTTAAGGATTGATGGAGAACCTTAAAATACATTTTTCTTGACACTTATTTTGTATAGAATATTGGTAATGATTCAAATTGCTGTAATACAGTTGTATTCTGTAAAGACAAAGATTTTATTTTTTTTTTACTTGTTACAGAAATTTGTCTTTACTCTGTTGCAAGAAAGAAATAATATTTTCATCTTTCTTGTATGCACATTTCTGGTTCATACATATTGCTATCAGTGTAAATTTTCTTTATTTTGGTATGGATTTTTTTATAACTAAAAAACAGACTAAGCCTTAAGTATGAGTTGTATTTTCCTGCTGCTTCAGCAAAAAAGCATTGTTTTGCAAATCCTTGCACTCAGGAATACTCTCCACTCCAGAAAATAATTCCTCTGGTAGTGTGCAAGTGGCACTTTCAGGTTTAAGGCCCCTAGCAATTCATATTCCCACTAGTGTCTGCTGCTAAATGCTGATAGTATTGTACCTTTCAGTGGCCATATTTTACGTGACCACTGAGCTTGCCAAAATTAATTTTCATTATAAATGCATAACACTGTATATAATACATACTAAACTGTAATGGATGCTACCAAACATGTATTTTGTTATTTGGTTCTTAATGTAAACATTCAAAATTACCTTTCTGGCCCTTTGGACCAGGTGGCCCAACATTACCAGTATCACCAAAGTCTCCAGGGCTACCTCTGACTCCTGGAGGGCCAGGAAACCCCAAACCAGGCAATCCCATCTGTCCTTTTACCCCAGGAAGTCCTGGGACCCCAGGGAATCCTTTATCACCTGGCAGTGGTACTCCAGAATTGCCCTAAAAGAAAGAAATTGTTGATAAGAAATAATAAAACCTGATTTCTTTCTTCTCTTTGATAATCAAAAGCCGTGTTGGAGAATTATCTGGAGAAACCACTCTTCCACAATTAAGTGACTACATGGATGATATTAGTAGTTTTAAGTATTCAAAGACAATAAGAACAAAGGGTGGAGTTTTGCAGGGTTTTTGTCTTCTTGATCCCATAACATTGGCACACAGTATATGCAGAAATTATATTCAGGAATGTCAAAATAAACAGTAATACTTTGAAGGAACTAATTTTTCAACTGATAAAAATATGATTTTTGATCTAGGCTAACATAAAATGATAAAAGTGATTAATCTGCTAGGAATTTGGAATAAAATGTTACTTTTTGTTAAGAAGCTAGCCCTCTCATAAGACAATACGTTAACTGAAATAGAAAAAAATTCTGAGAAAGTCAAACATACCTCAGCTCCTTTTTCCCCAGGCAATCCTAGTTCCCCATCTCTGCCATCATTACCTCTTTGGCCTGGAAATCCTGGAGCCCCAGTAGGACCTCTTTCACCTTTTATTCCTTAAAATAATTTGAAAAAACCGAAGTCTAATATTTACAATAAGTTTTGGTGTTTTTTCTTTCTGCTCAGGTAAATGTTGGGTAACTGTTCATCATATCTATATGACAATTTCCAGTTCTTGAATTCATATTTCCTTAATAAGGTATTTTAGGCTTAGGAAGGCAGTATGTAGTTGGACATCTCATGGAACAACTTGGTCTCTCTGTAAAAGACGTGTTTACAGGCACCACAAGAATGTGGCTTTTGCTCATGCTACATACAGAGTGAAAATATTTTGCTATTGAAATCGGTCAGAGTTTTATTCTTGATTTCAGTGAAATCAGGATATAGCAATGCCATGAGATGCAGAATATTTGCACCAATATTCCTAAAAGCTTTTTCTTTTTTCTTTTTTTCTTTTTTTACCCCTAGATTTTTCTTGCACTGATATTTATGAAAATGTAATTTTTGCGTAAAGGGCAATAAAACTATTCTAACCCAAAGATTCATTTTGCTGTGTCAAGAAATCCTTTGAAAATAAACAGTAAATGTTTTGCCCTGCTCCAACATCTGTAAACAAACACAGGCATCTAAAGCTAAGCTAACTTTTCACAGACAGTAAGACAGATAATCTTTTGTCTGAATAATTTATTTAGCATTTCTGACTAAGCTTTGCCATCAGATTGCTGTAATTTGTTGTTCTCCATTTCTTTTGCTTTTGCAAATCATAACCATAACTGTGGAGAGGTTTTGATCTATTAAATTACAAGAATTTCAGTTGTGCAAGTGGTGGCCTATTGTTTCTCTTCAATGCCTGGTCAAGAGTAATTTTTAGAAATAGGAGCAGGAATCTCAATAGCCATTGAGACTTTGAGTTTTTCCCAAGAGGGTTGTTGGCGGTTTAAGTTGAGATAACACTGGGATACTGGCATATGACACTTCAGGAGATGGCTTCTGTACAATATTTCTTCATGCTTTCACAATAATTGTATTCTGCTTAGTCTTGGCTATACAGACCTCTGTAAGAGCCTGATTATCAATCACATGACATGAAATGTCATTTGTTAACATTAATAACAAGCTGTTAAAACTGTTATATGGCTCAACTATAGAGTAAAAACCACAAAACACTCTGTTGATCTTGTGTTTAGCAAGAATAAAGTTAATGAGATGACACCAAGAAAGCAGTTTGGATATACATGACCTCTAGGCTTCAGTAATTTGCTAAATTAATGACTTTAATAAATAAACTATGACTTAATAAAGAAAACCAAATTAATATGGTTTTCTCACACTATTGCCTAGGCATTGTATGCAAAACAAAAAGGCTAATGATAAAATCTGTGTTTACCTTTTATTCTAACTCTTCCTGGATCACCCTTCTCTCCTTTTTCACCATGTTGTCCAGCAGAACCAGGTGTCCCCTTACCATTGTCAAAAAAAAAAAAAAAAAAAAAAAAGTTGTCAGTTATCTCCAGCAAGGAATCAATGTGGGAATTGAGAGGGAAATTAGATATCTATCTCTTGCTCTTACAGTTTCCCAAAACCAGACCAATTAAAGTAACATGCCAAAAAGAAACGCTTATATCTGTTAACATCTATAAAGAGGTGCATGAATGGCACCTAGCGTTTTCAGCCTGACTCTGCCAAATGCACAGGTACACAACTGTAAGAAATTGTAATGGTAGAAGAACTGGGTCTGTGGCTGTATACAGCTGTGGCTGTAAATGCAAGAATATTAACATGCAAATGATTCACACACTCTTCCCGCTGCAGACTTCAACCCACAATCCACAAAGGCTACACAGGAAGGGAATCTCTGGAGTGTGGTGACTGCTGGATGAGGTTGTCCTCCCAGAATTGACATGACAGTAGGTAAGTGATGCTTTTTTCCTGAGTGAAAGCCCATAAAGCTGCCAGTAAAAAATTTTATCTATGCCTAGTTAGGTACATGGTATTGTCAGAAGAATCTATGACTTGACAGGTTTAGAGGGGAAATGAAGTACTTTTCTGAATTTTTATGCTGATTTGTGCTCTCAGTTCTCCAAGCAGAGTGCAGTTTGCATACCATCATTGGTGAGGGTTGGATCTTGCAACAGTACATGTGGGTAAATATATCTTACTATGTGAAATTTACACAGAAGTAAAAGGCCACTAAGGTTGAAAAACTGCGGTATTATTTAGCTGGTTTCCTCTGTTATTCAAAGTCTTTCACTAAGAAATAGGTGGGGAAAATACAATTCATAAAGTGATTGTAAATCATGACAATTGTAAAACAGGCAGGAGTCTTCTGAAAAAACCTGGTGTATCTGAAACTAGTAGTCACTATTTGTTAAAATGTCTCAATCTTCAAGTTGGCAGTGACCAGTTATTAGTATTTGAAAAGTGAAATGAGATATTTGTGAAGAAAATAGAGCAGAAAAATGGAAAAAGTATATATAGGTAGGAAATCCATTAGACCAAAGCACTTCTGTATTGAAGTGAATTATTTCTTTCCAAACTGATTACTTTGTCCTCCTTTCTCACTTAAGTAACCTAAGAATACCAGAGTGTTCAGGACAAGGCTTCAAGCTTTATTTCAGAACCACAAAGGCTAAAGCATACTTTCAAAAGTAACAAAAAGATTGAAATCTCACACAATCCATTCAGGTAATAGGATTTTAAGAAAAGTAAAAACAAATGCAAAGCTTGTAATGAAACCATTGGAAGTAGAATGATAGAGCCCCTCCACCTCCTTCTTTGTCTCATGATGGTTTTGGTTTTTTGAATTTTGAAAGAACGTGTTCTGGAAACTTTTAAGCAATTCCTCATGTGAAAAAGAGTTCTGCTATTAAAACAAAACCTCAAAAAAAAAACAAACAAAAAACTCCATAATGGAACAGTCATAAAGCCAAGTATATCTGCCTATATTTTCAAAGAAATTGCTCTCACATACAAAGAACTATATTAACAAACCCATCTATTTGACATCATTTTGGTATGTGGTATCCTGGATGTACAGTCCACATGCCAGTCCACATCATCTTATAATGTATTCCTAAAGCAGTTAGATTAAGTAGTGTTTTGAATTATTGGTCACTGTGAGGAATAAGATAAACTACATGAAGCATATTAAAGAAAATAAGTCAATTTCCAAAAGCAATAGCTAGTTTTACTGAGTTAGGCAACAAGCATCACCCAGTAAATTATTGACCCAAGAAACATACAGGTCTTCAGCTCAAATTTATTTTGTTTGTTAATCCTGCTCACAGCCACTATTAAAGTAGAAATACACATCTGACCTAAAGGTACCTTTTAAATATTTCTCAATTATTTTCTTCCCCCCACCTTGCCATGAAAACTCTTTTCATGAAAAACTGGATGTCAGATTTGTTAACACTGGAATGAACTGGCCT